TAGGGTTTTTTGCTTGATGTAATAAATAGAACATCTACAGTCATCATACTGAAGTCACCTATTTTTTTTTAATTTATTTAATTACCACTCTCATCGGTCACACTTGTTATGTAGTTTCTCTGGAACTCTCCCAGATTTCTTCATTTGTTGATGCTATTTCCAATATTCATGACAAAATCTCAGGTGATTTCATGTATTCTGTTTCAGTTAGTTAGTTTTTTCAAGCATGTAGCTTACATAGTTCATCCAATCAAAAAGCCACAATCATTTTATGAATACAAAGCCGGAGTATAGCTGTAATGCAGGAGTCAGTGTAGTGTATTGACCATATGCGGTGGTCTAACAATTCTACCAAGTCTTCATCTTGCTTTAATAAATGTATTTTTGTGTTTTTGGTTTTCACAGCTGCGGTATTACCAAGACAGTGAGCTCAGAATATAAAATTACAAAGTGTTTATCTGTGCTACACTGTCAAGTAGTAAATATGCTGAATAGTAGGAAAAAGATGATGGTTTGTGAAAAAAGTAAGAAGAGTGTTACTGAGTCAATAATTATGCAAACAAACACCGATGACAAGCCTTTTCGTTGCACGAAATGTAAGAAGACCTGCACCTATTCAAGTCATCTCAAACAACATATGCGAACACATACCAATGTGAAGTCTTATCATTGTGAACAATGTGAAAAGAGTTTTACCACATCAAGTAATCTTAAATGTCATATACGAACCCATACCAATGAGAGGCCTTATCATTGTGAGCAATGCAAGAAATGTTTTAGCCAATTAGGTAACCTCAAACAACATTTACGAACACATACCAATGAGAAGCCTTATCATTGTGAACAATGTAAAAAGAGTTATACCACATCACAATATCTCAAATATCATATACGAACACATACCAATGAGCGGCCTTATCATTGTGAACAATGTGAAAAACGTTTTACCACATCAAGTCATCTCAAATATCATATACGAACACATACCAATGAGAGGCCTTATCGTTGTGAACAATGTGAAAAGAGTTTTACCCAATCAATTCATCTCAAACGGCATATACGAACACATACCAATGAGAGGCCTTATCATTGTAAACAATGTGAAAAGAGTTTTGCCACATCAAGTAATCTCAAACAACATGTACGAACACATACCAATGAGAAGAAATATCAATGTGATCAATGTGAAAAGAGTTTTACCCAATCAAGTCATCTTAAATACCATATACGAACACATAACATGGAAATCTCAAATTTATTTACTTTGCATAATAGCTTAAGCACGAGAAGACGTGAAAATAAACCTGAAAATTGTTTTTCCATAAATAATGGTAATTCAGTAGAGCAGTTTAAGTGTCGTCATTGTGAGTGTATATACAGTCAATTATCTCATGAAAGAAACTCATTAATTATTCACAGAGAGAAGAAATATACATATAGATGGAAATCTGTAAATGGTGAAAATCAGTTCACTGTCACACTCAACGTACAAGATGAGTGTTCAGATGTGGAAGAACAGAAACGATTGTTTATTACGCATACTGGGTTCATTGTTGAGAAGAGAATTCACAAACAAATAGAAGAATTCAGATTGTACAGCCACAGGGTTGATAAGTGCTGAATAATTTCATTGAAATAACCCATTACAGTTCATACAGAGAAGTTATTTATAATCTTAATTTATTCCCTGAAAAGCACAATATATACATATACTGTATTATTTCTACAGCTCATGTCTAAGATGCATATGTTGTGGCATGAAAAGCTTTTTTGGTAATTTCAAATGCGTCATATACACAATACATAATATAATATTGTTGAAATTGTGTTGCAAAACCTGTTTTCCTAGAAGAAAATTTGTTGTAGCAATGAATATATTCCATTCAGTTTAAACTAGCGTGTTACTCTGGATTATTCAAATTCGGAAAAAAAATTAAAACATCATTGTAATACCTATTATGTTACTTATAAATATTTAAAAAATATATATGTAACAGTTGTTTGTCATTTTTCTATGATATACACGATCGTCAATTTTGTTTAGAACATTGTAATATTCTTAGCAGTCAGTGTTTTTTATGGCTTTGTTATGTCAACATTGCATTGAAAACTTGTATATCTGAAGTAACTACTATATTTGATATGGTTGTTTTGATTTTCAATTGAATTGTACGCTTGTGGTCACGAAATATTACATTACAATGTGCCAGTGTGCATTTATTACGTGTTTTTTAGTTCCCGTTCAGACGCAGTCCGAAAACGGGGACTTATGTTTTGACCTCCATGCGTCCGTGTGGTGTGCATGCGTCCGGACCTGTATCTTAGAAATGCCTCGACCAATCACAATCACACAATCAACCTTAACACATACGTCATACTTGATATTATACATATGCACATCAATTGGGTTCACGATCTGATTCAAGATGGCCGAATGGCGGCCATTTTTGTTCTAAAAATCACCAAAATCAAGCATTTCTCGCCTGTTTACAGATGGATTTTGTTAAAACTTGTATATACATTGGACATTATAGAACCTTGATGCACATCATTTTGTTTTCAGATAAGATTCAAAATGGCCGCCAGTCGGCCATTTTGTTTTAATAAATGCGGTTTTAGTGCCATATCTCTGACTTGCTGTGACTGATTATGTTCAAATTTCAAATATTCATTATTGCTGGGAAAGGATTGACCAGCTTTGTTATTAGTCCAGCTGGAATTGTTCAGCTTGGACTGTGTCTGAATCC